CATTTTGTATTAGACGCACATTCTTTTTTAAATTCCTTTCCACTCATCTTTCTCTTTCTGACAACTGTCACACCTCTTCATGCTCTGAGAATTTTCATGGAGCAATGTCTACAATTACATCCTGATGAGAATGGATGCCCTGGCTTTGGCAATGGGTCAAATAAGAGCTCACAAATGTAGAAATTGATTAATGAACATTCTTATATTTTAGAAGAGTGTTTCCAAACACCATTGCAGGTGATATTTTTTAAATGCCTTTCCCTTAAACATACATATATATATCCATATACATTTCAGACCCAGTCAGTTCTCTTCATGAATATTTTTCACCTAAATAAAGGATACACATTTCCATATTTCATTATTTGTTAGATGTCTCTTGGTAACAGGAAGTTAAAGATTATAGGGACACTATGTTGACTAAATAGAAACCCCAGACCAAATCCAAAATACCACAGCTTACACTAACCAGTGCACAATGACTCCATGCTAGTGATGTTATGATCTATGTGGGTTATGTCATGATCTGTAAATACCACTCTGTGACACAGCGTAATTTTATAGGGCAAGGAAGTTGCTTTGTAACCCATATTTTAGGTCTTAAATCACATTTCAACCAGAAAAATGAGGAAAAAATCTCAGTGTAGATATACATAACAGTGGTTGTGAATAAAATACATTCTAACTGTTTGACTTGTATTTCAACTTTACAGATTTTTTTTTTAAGTTACAAAGCTACAAATTCTTTGACGTTCAGTTATCTGCAATGATGAACAAATGTGTGTGTTCTGAGTGCACCTACCAAACATTTCTCCTTCTCATTCCCTTACCTGGGACCATCCTACTCCCTATGACAAAACAATATTGAATTTAGGCCAATTAACAACTCTAAAATGACCTCTAAGTTTCATGTGAAAGGAAGAGTTGCATGTCTCTTACTTCAATCAAAAACTAGACATGATTAAACTTAGTGAGGAAGGCATGTTGAAAGCTGAGATAGGCATAAAGTTAGGCTTCTTGTGTCAAACAGTGAGCCAAATTGCTAATGCAAGGGAAAAAGTTTTTGAAGAAAATTAAAAGTGCTATTTCAGTGAACATATGAATAATAAGAAAGCAAAACAGCCTTATTGCCGATATGGAGAAAGTTTTAGTGGTCTGGATGATTAAACCAGCCACAACACAACATTCCCTTAAGCCAAAGACTAATCCAGAACAAGGCCCTAACTCTTTTCAATTCCATGAAGGCTGACAGAGATGTGGAAGCTGCAAAAGAAAAGTCTGAAGCTAGAATAGGTTGGTTCATGAGGCTTAAGAAAAGAAGCCATCTCTATAATATAAAAGTTCAAAGCAAAGCAGCAAGTGCTGATGGAGAAGCTACAGCATATTATCCAGAAGATCTAGCTGAGATGATAGATGAAGGTGACTACACTAAACAACAGATTTTCAATGTAGACAAGACAGCCATCAAGTGGTAGATGCCATCTACGGTGTTCACAGCTGGAAAGGAGCAGTCAATGCCTGGCTTCAGAGCTTCAAAGGATAGGATGACTCTTGTCTATGGACTAATGTAGTTGGTCACTTTAAGTTGAAGCAGTGCTCATTTACCATTCTGAAAAACTTAAGGCCCATAAGAATTATGCTAAATCTACCCTGTTTGTACTCTATAAATAAAAGAACAAAGTCTGAAAAACTTAAGGCCCATAAGAATTATGCTAAATCTCCTCTGTTTGTACTCTATAAATAAAAGAACAAAGTCCAGAAGAAAACACGTCTGTTTATAGATAGCATGGTTTACTGAATATTGTAAGCCCACCAGGAAAAAAAAAAAAAAAAAAAAAAGATTCTATCCAAAATGTTACTACTCACATAGGCAGTGAGCAAAGCTCACACCAGAACAATAACAATGAAATGAATTCAACCTAAGCGTCCATCAATGGATGACTGGATAACGAAAATACTGTATATATACATAATCAAATACTATTCAGGAACAAAAAAGAACAAAATAATGACTTTTGCAGCAATATGGATAAAACTGGAGACATTACCCTGAATGAAATCACTCAGACACAGAAAGTCAAATACTTAATGTTCTCACTTAAAAGAGGGAGCTAGATGATGTGTACACATGGACGTAGAGTATGGAATGATAGACAGTGGAGACTTGAAAGGTTGCAAGGGGGCTAGGAAGTAGGTGAATAATGAGAAATTACTTAATGGATACAATGTATGTTATTCCAGTGATGGATACCCTAAAAGCCCTGACTTGGCTACTATACAATCTACCCATGGATCAAAATTACGTATGTACCACATAAATTTATACAAATAAATTTTTTAAATTACTGCTCATTGACAATGCACCTAGTCAACCAAGAGCTATGATGTAGATGTACATGAAGATGAATGTTGTTTGCAGGCCTGCTAACATTACATCCATCTTGCAATCCATGGATCAAAGAGAAATTCTGACTTTCAATTGTTATTATTTAAGAAATACTTTTCATAAGGCTATAGCTACCATGGACAGTGATGCCTCTGGTAGATCTGGGCAATGTAAATTTAAAAACATCCTGAAAATTATTCACCTTCTAGGTGCTATTAAGAACATCATGACTCATGGGAGGAAGTCATATTACCAAAATTAATAGGAGTTTAGAAGAAGTTTATTTGAGCCCTCATGGTTAACTTTGAGGGGTCCATGACTTCAGTGGAGGAAGCAACTACAGACATAGTGTAAATAGAGAACTAGAATTACAAGTGGAGCCTGAATATATGATTGAATTGCTGCAATCTCATGATATAATTTGAATAAATGAAAAGTTGCTTACTATGGATGAGCAAAAAAAAAAAAAAAAAAAAGTAGTTTTTTCTTTGGTTTTTTGTTTGTCTGTTTTTGGAGTTTCACTCTGTTGCCGAGGCTGGAGTACAGTGGCACAATCTCAGCTCACTGCAACCTCTACCTCCTGGGTTCAAGCAATTCTCCCACCTCAGCCTCCCAAATAGCTGGAAATACAGGCGGGGGCCACCACACCTGGCTAATTTTTATGCTTTTAGTAGAGATCGGGTTTCACCATGTTGGCCAGGCTGGTCTTGAACTCCTGCCCTCAAGTGATCCACCTGCCTCAGCTTCCCAAAGTACTAGGATTACAGGAAGAAAGTAGTTTTTTTTAGATAAAATCTACTCCTGGTAAAGAAGCTATGAAAATGCTGAAATGACAACAAAAGATTTAGGATATCATATAAATTTTCTTGATAACACAACAGCAGGGTTTGAGAGGATTGAGTTCAATTTTTAGAGAAGTTATACTGTGGGTAAAGTGCCATCAAACAGCATCACAATCTACAGAGAAATCTTTTGTAAAAGGAAGAGCCAATTGATGCAATAAACTTCATGGTTTTATTCTAAGAAATTGTCACAGGTGCCCCAACCTTTAACAACCACCTTCCTAATCAGTCAGCAACCATCAACATCGAGGAAAGATCCCCTACCAGCAAAAAGTTTATGAAGGCACAGATGATTGTAAGCAATTTTAACAATAAAGTATATTTTAATTAACGGATGTACATAGTATTTCTAGACATATCTAGGCTACTGCAAACTTAAAAGGCTATAGAATATTGTTAAATTTACTTTTATGTGCACTGAGAAACTAAAAGAAAGTGTGACAGCTTTATTGCAGTATTGACTTTATTGCGGTGGCCTAGAATCAAACCCACAATATTTCTGAGGTATTCCTGTAGCTGTAAATAGATAACCACCTGGGAAACTACTATGACTACCATATCAAGCAAAGGCATTAGGCAAACTGTAAGCCTAAGAGGCAGAAAAGCAGGCATCATCAGCCTCTGCCAACAGCCACTGTAAGTAAAAATACAAATAGGCATGCATCAATTATTTTGGGCACATTCATGCTCCTGGTCAACATGTACATATAGACCAAAGTACGCATTCAAGGCTGATTAGGCACATGTATGTCTTTGTGTGTGTTATCAGGGGATTGCAACTTTATTGCTAAAAATTAAGCCTGGATTAAAAGTTGAAAAAATACACAAGTATTATAATTAGGATCCTATATTTATTTTTGTGATCATAATTAAGTATTACCAAAGCTAAGTATTAGAGGGAAAATAATTTCCCCAGAAAGCAAAGTTTACGAATACTTGAAAAAACTCTCAAAGAAATCAAAGAATTTGGCATAGTGATTAGATGAAATATGTATAAACCAAATTCTACTCCTTTAAGTTGATGGCGTTTGTTTTCTATTTCAGATATTAGTTTATTTATTCTTTAGCCTTTTGCACACTAACTATTAAAGAGAGCTAAACACTCATAGAGGAGGCCCCAAGATGCCATAGGAATGATCAAGATTCAGCATGCATCAGTCTTTAGGGAAGGAAATGTGTTATAAGAGGCCTGGTATTTCCTTAACCTTCAGGAAGATGAAGGCATATTCCTTCAACAAGTACGTGTGCTTGGGGCATCTATGAGAAGGAAAGGTCTGCTTCATATAACAAAGCATCAGAAGATTTCACTTCCCCAGTTTTCAATATGATAAATAAGAATATATAGAGATTGTTAAAAGCCGTATCTAGCCCGTGGTTATTTTGAAAATGACTTGCTACAATATAAATGAATCCTTGCGTTTAAAGGATAGTAAATAGTAAACCAGATGAAGTATCACCGACGAAATACTGTCCCTGTTGATACAGCATCAAGGAAAAAGAACCAGACATAGATGCACACAGCCTGTTGTCCGCACTGTGCAGCAGCTCTTCAGTCAAAGTTGGGTTGCAATTAAAAGTAAGTCTTTCTTCTATGACCCAGCTTCAAGAAGCCTGAGACATTATACTGCAGAAGATGTCTTAGTTAGTTAGGGTAAGTTATTCAGGATTTTCAGAAATCTGAAGAAAGATTACATTTTGTTTTTGCCTGCCCAAATCTCTCCCAGCCCTATACCCACTGCCTTATCAAAACCCAGTGAACCCCTTTTGCTTACTTGGGATAATTTCTAGATTGAATGAAGGGCAGAATTTCGGAGTCTTGACTACATGGAGGCAGTAGTAAATCTCGAAATCGCTCTGTCAAAAGAAAAATAAACATCAAGCTGTGAAAAGATAAAAGTCACGAAAATAATTTCAAAATGGAAGTATTTCCTATTGGTTTATTTTGTTAGCCATTTTGACTGTATATCCATCCTTTATTAGAAATTTACCCACCATTTTATGTATTACTAATATATATATATAGTGTATGTGTGCATGTGTATATATCTATATATGGATAGATTATAATATTTTAATCATAAATACATATGTAGCCATTAAGGATAAATAGGTATAGATATACAGATAACACATATTCATATATTTCTTTTAAATATATAAAATTAAGCCTGGATTAATATTTGAAATAGTTACATTTATCCTATAAATATATATAATATATACATTTCACACATACATATTTCTCATATATAAATATAAAAATATATTTTTTCCTTAATGGCAACATATATCTTTATGATCAAATCTTATCATTGAAATCTTATCATTGAATCTTATCATCATTAGGGAAAACATACATGACCAATCAACATATTAAGAGATGCATAGTCTCATTAGTAACCTGTGCCATGTGAATCAAAACCAGACACCATTAACTAGCATTTATGTCATGTAGCATTCAATTGACAGAAATTAGTCTCCCAAAACCAAGTGTTGGAGAGGATGTTGATCAACCTAAGCTCTTATATGCTGCTGGTGGGAGTACAAATTGGTACAATAGCTTTTGAAGACAATTTGGCATTATCATTTAAGTTTTACTTTTGTGTAGTCTGTGGCCCAATATTTCCACTTTCAGGGATACACCCTGCAGAAACTTTCACATGTGTCTTAGCAAGTATGAGAATGTTCACAGTAGCACCGCTCATAGAACAACATAAATGGAAGCAGCTCAGTTGCTCACTGACATGGCAGAATGGACGTTTGTGCTTATTCAAAAAATGAAGTATTAACTGAAGTGAAACTGAATGATTTCAGTTACAAATAAAAACATAATGAATCATATTAATATAATTTTGAGTGAAATAAAATCCTAGCAGATTACATATAACAGAATAGAATTTTTATTGAGTTAAAAAAAACTAAGCAATGTATTATTTAAGTATGATATATATGAAATAAAACAAACCAATTAAAAAAGAAGGACATGCACAATTCAGAATAATGATTATCTTTTAGGAAAGGTAGGGGATGAAATAGGAGAGAAGCAAAAGGGTAAACCTAAGTAACGGTTAGTGTTTCATATGTAGTAATTGTCATATCATAAATGAATAAATGAAGGAATGACAGCCAAGAAAAGACCAATAATGACTGCATATCCTGAGCTAAGAATTGATTTAGTAAACTTCAGTGCATATGAATTCATAATGAAGAAAAGAGAGAAAATAGGAGGGAGGGGGGAAGAGGAAGGGAGAAAGAAAGGAAAAAAACAAAGAAGGACAAAGGAAAAAATCCTAGATGTTACCTTGGAAATATGCTGCATAGCTATCTGCATGGCATAGAGTATGCACATTTTCAGGAATAGATATGCATTACCTCTAGAGTCATACCTATGGAAAGACTTCCTTGATCCCTCCATTACTTTTTTGTTCTCTCCTCCTGCCCTCTTTGGAATAGGCTTGACCGACTGTGTACTCCCCGTACACCTTGTGATTCCACTTTCACAGAATTTATCACACTATGTTTTATTGTTATATGTATTTATCTCTCTATCCCTCTTTCTTCTAGTAGATAAGTATTGTGCCACCAAGGTACAGAACATTATCTGACACATAATTAAGGTGCTGGATAAATACTTGTTGAAGAAATATTTCCAATATCTATTTTACTGAACAGAGAAAACTGTTTGTTAAGGTTAATCATAATAACTCCCAGAGGAGACCAAACGGTCATACATCAACCATGAACAGCAAATGGATCCATACTCCCATCTTGACACAGTCGCACAATCAGGCTGAGATAGTATGCAAAGCTAACACTCCTCTGCTGCAGTACATCCATCACTAACTGAAGGTGAGTCTTTCCACAAAATAATGAAAATATACACCTGATGACCATTGCCCTTTCCTAGTTTATGGATAGTTAGATGTTAAATTATTTGGAATACGGCAGACACAAAGTGGCCTTTGCTTACTGAGAAGCAGAATGTATATTTTATTTTCATATTTACTAAAACATACTGAATCAGAGATACATAACTGGCTTCTACTGTTTTTTTTTCCCTTCTCAAAATTCTGACATTTCTTACAATATAGGTGAGAAGGAACTAATGAGATCCAAATACAGATGTGCTTATACTCTGAAGTCTAGAAATCCCCCAAAAATACTATGTGTTTTTCTCCAATTATACTCTTTAATATTAGTTCATATTTTTAAATATTAAATTATATTATTGGCTGGTATTTTGGGCTGATCTTACTATTTTTAATTTTTAAAATTAACATTTCTTTCAATCAAATGACTAGTAAACTTTCTGATGATAATAACTCTTGGTTTTCAGTCTACTTGCCAATTTATGGGGTACTCATTAAATGAGTAATGTGTAATGCTTTATCGTTTCAATTTTTTTTCCCACTGAGCCTTTTCCTAAAATGGGTCTTGAAAAATCAAGCCAAAACCCAACAGCAAACAAGAACTTTACATATCAAGTAAAGAACTGTTAAATCAAACAGCTATATGTGTTATGATATTCCTTGAAAACCAATGGTATAAATTAAAGTTTAGTGAATTTCTCCCAAACTTGTTAAAAGGAAACAAAAATCAGAATTCTTAGTACACACAACTATAATATAAGACATCCTTTTCACAGCGATAAGTTTTTCTCTTTTTACATAACCGTAAAGGACTTATGACTATAATTCTGGAGAAAAGAATCTCTGCAGATGACATGCTGACAGGACTAAAAACACATACACAGATGCACACGTGTGCATGCATACACACACACAGCAAAAGCAGCATAAAAGACGTCACTTATAAAGCTATAAGGAAATCTATAACTAATGTTCCTATATTTGGAACATCCTTTAATCAGATTATCATAAATACAAAGAATATCAAGCAAACATATCTTGAATAGCTATCATGGTTGTCAAAAAGAGTTCATAGACAGGGCATGGTGACTCACGCCTATAATCCCAGCACTTTGGGAGGCTGAGGCAGGTGGATCACCTGAGGTCAGGAGTTTGAGACCAGCCTGACCAACATGATGAAACTCTGTCTCTACTAAAAATACAAAAAGTTAGCCGGGCGTAGTGGTGGGTGCCTGTAATCCCAGCTACTCAGGAGGCTGAGGCAGGAGAATCACTTGAACCTGGGAGGCAGAGGTTGCAGTGAGTTGAGGTCATGCCATTGCACTCCAGCCTGGGCAAGGAGAATGTAACTTAATCTCAAAAAGAAAAAGAAAAGAAAAGAAAAGAAAGGGTTCATATACACATAAACAGAAAATATATGCAGTACTTCAAAAGCATGTCTTTAAAAAATTTAATTTTTATATTAATAAATTATTAAATGTGAACAATTTTATCTCATAAAGGTATATTGATTATTCACTTATTTCTTTATAAAAAAAGATAAATGATAACAATCTATTCTTAGCAAAGTTCAAGTAAATGGAAAAATTATTTATAATTATTTAGTCCTTTAGTTTCACAGATTTTGCCTATCGATTATTTAATTAGCATCCTATTATCTATTTGATTCTGAGGAAAAGGCCAAAATAATTTGATGCTTTATTTGTTAAGTAAAAAAAAAAAAAAAAAAGATATATTAATGCTACTTCTTTTGCAGCAAAATGTCAAACCAGATGATCTACTTTCTCAGCAGGCTCAAATTGTTTAAGAAAATGGCACAGTTATCCAAATACTACAGCTCAGGACTTTCACAGGACTTCTTAGAAGAAATTCATTAAAGTCACTGGAAAAAAAAAGCTTTTCTGCAAAGTGGTACTGTGATGAGCTGACTAACGATGTGATAATGTCTGAACATGATTTTCTACCAGTAGGAGATACATCTTAATTAACACAAGCTTTTGTAGACTTTCACCCACTCTTCCTTTCTCCCATTCAATCAACAAAAAGATTATGAGACTGTTAGACCTGGATGACATACTGCACACAGTTACATTACTTTGCATTCTCTGGCTAATCAACTGTGACAAAATATGCGTAATTATTTGAAAACAAAAATGAGAAACATAAAATATTCTTTCCAATTCTAATTGAAACTTTTATGTACAGCTTTTTGTGGCCAAGGTGTTTCATGTTCTCCTTTGCAGAAAATCACTAACCTCTAATCCACCCCAATATGCAGAATATACCAAATGCAATAAGGATTTACATAACAATAAAAAGCAGTAGGCCTTTTTTTTTTTTTTTTTTTTTTTTTTTTGGAGATGGAGTCTTGCTCTGTCACCCTGGCTGGAGTGCAGTGGCATGATTTCAGCTCACGGCAATTTAGCATTATGCAAATCTATTCCTGGGATGAGAAGAAAATAAAACCTCTTACCACTACAAAAAAAAAAAAAAAAAAAGAAAAGAAAGAAAAAAAATATGTAAAAGACAAAAGTAACACTGATTAATGCTATTCTTGTATAACCTAAAGATCCTTTATATCTAGAGATGTGATCACTGTCACCTATTTAGTTTTGTTTTGTTTTTTTTTTTTTTTTTTTTGACAGTAACCTAAGAAAGAGTTATTCTTTGCTAGAGGGACCCAAACAGGTTTTACCAATTCCAAATCATTGTTTTCCTTTAGGTAACCCATCTTCTCTAACTGCCTCTCTATAACCTCCTCTATAAAAATGAATATTTTAACTGTTTTGAGTATTAGATTTTCAGAGCAATAAAAGAAGTCATATAAAACACTTCTAAGGGAGGCAGGATTGTCCTAAAGAAAAGGTACTTGAATAGAAGTTCTTCACATTTTTATTTTTTATTTTTTATTTTTTTTTTAATTTTTTTTTTTTTTTTTTTGAGACAGAGTCTCGCTTTGTCACCCAGGCTAGAGTGCAGTGGCCG